TTTAATGATGAACTAAATTTCCTGCCAACTAAATTTCCTTTGTTACCTCTTCAGTTAAAATAAAAATGGGAGCCTCAAACAAAAACCTCCATTATGGGGACCCTTACATAGGCCTCTGTGAGAAGACCTGACTGCTGTCCACTCCCCTTTCTAGCTCATAGCAGTTGAAGAGTGGCCATTGCCCGTTTTCCCCTAAAGGCAGTTAGGGTTACTTTTTCAGAGGGAGAAATAAGACAGAAAGACCCTGGAACCCTCCATTATGACCTCCCTGTGACTCAAAGGGTGGAAAGAAGGAAAAGCAGGCTGGACCAGAATAAGGATGGTATGAGGATTAGGGCATGGACAATCAGAACATTGCAGTCACAGACAACCAGAATGCTGCTTTCTATACACCTAATTACTATAGAGGTTGAGCAATGCCCCAGAGAAAATGGATTAACACCTCAGTCCACGTCACTTCTCTGGCACCCTCTCTTGGGACTCCTCCCAGACCTGGAGCTCTACTTATCCTTGTTTTCTATCTCAATAAACTCCCAATTACTCATCTTATTGTCCATGAAGTTCATTCTTTAACTTTGTGAGATATGAACCTGAAATGCTGACCTCCCTCCATCTGGATAAACACCTAAGTCAGCAAGGTTAAGTGGAGGCTTTCAGATTGACACGAATCTTCTGTATCAATAGCAACATTTTTTATGAGTAGGAATGTTAAGACTTTCATAAAAAAAGAAGCTCATTGTGCAGCACATCACATAGTCAAAGGGTTGAAATAGAATTTGTGTCTTAGCTATCATTTTCACCTTTAATCAATAAATTAATATTCCTTTTTAGTGGAGATAAAAATTACCCACATTAAACATATGAAAATAAACTTCATTAGCTTAATAATTGCCACTACACAGCATATATGCTACTAAGTTTTGTATGACCTCACATTTCTTTAAATATTTCCCTAATAATTATTAAGTAAAATAATTGGAAAACATAATGAAAGCCATTTGGCTTTAACCCAAAACTTGTACCTTAACCATCAAGCTAATGACATAGCAAGAAAACAATGACATTATCACATGAAGGTTGCCTTAGTTTATTGTTAACCATCCATTCATGCACACTTAAGTGAATTCCAGCAGAAAGTCTAAGAAATTCATGGATCAACCCAAAGCTCATCAGAGAAAGTGCTAATCACAGGACAGGTAGAAGAATGGCAAAAGTGAACCTCTCATCTAAACTTCTGAGCTAATAAAACAATAGAGAAGAGGGAACTATTGTGAAAAATTTTTAAATTGGTAACAAGATAATTAATACTTTATAGATTTTATACTCATACAACTTAGAGAATGAAGTAAGCAAGAGAGCTTCTAAATACACTTAAAGTAAGAAATGATGCATTATAACATGTATAGGCACAAAGTTTAAGTTCCAAGCAAGTTTAGTCACCCCTCATTATTGGAGTGGTGTATTGGAGTATCCCATCCATAGTTTAACAATGTGACCATCAGTCATCTTTCACCCCCCTCCTAATGCATGATCCAAACAAAATTTGTTCAAGGCAGAGGATAGGGAAAGTTTTCAAGTCTTCTTATTACCAATCATCTAGTTTGGGGTTTTTTTTGTGTGTGTGCTATTTGAATAGGAATCATGGGTGGGTAAGGAGGGACTCTTACAGTATTAGGAGTCCTGGGCCCTTGATTGCCCAAGGCCTGAGGGCTGAACTGGCAGACCCAGAGGCTTACAGCTCTAAACCTGGATGCTGGAGGCCTGTTTTTCCAGGTACAGAAGCCAGAGACTTAATGACTCTATGTAGCCATAATTGTGGCTTATTACTCAGGGCTTTAACTACTACTAGACCTGACACTTGGCAACTATATTGTAGTCCTTGACCTCCAGCAGTACTGAGTGGAAGCAGCAGGTGCTTCTGCTAGTGTTAGAGCTCCTGAGTGGGTCTTGGGTGTTGGGACCCTCAGCTCCTTGAGTGCCTAGTGTTACAGCTTGTGAGCATAGGATGTCAAGGTCCTTACCCCTTCCTTGATAGCCACTGTTGTTAAAGCTCTCAGGATTATGATGTTACCCTTGTCCCTGAAGTTTTGATTGCTCCCTTTAATACTTCCAGTGACCAGCACACGCATTTTCATAGCTGGCTCTTCACAGCTTTCTATCTTTCTTTAAGTAACATTTATACACTTTGGCTGAGGGTATACACTTAAAGGTGGCACTTTTTCACTTCTATACTGGAAGTATAGTATACTCTTCCCCATTATTTATATCCCATTTTCTCTATGGAACTCTTCAGCTGTCCTAATGCTGATGCTGCCACTGAGGTTGTGACCACCTCCAGTGTTACTTCTGCTTCACCGCAATTTCTACTCTATCCTCTACATGTTACCAACTCAGCCTGCTCTCCTAATGACAAAGATCAAAATTAATCAAGAAAACACTACTTGAGAGAAGCCTTCTATTAGGCTTAATGTTGGAACCATTGTGGCAAAAGAGGGTGTATTCCAGCTGACTGGAAAAGTGAGCCAAACAGCCTGCTTATATAGCCAGACAGGGTGTATAGCAAGGGTGTTTGCACCAATCATACCACGGCCCTTCATGTAAATGGAAGACTGCATTTTCACCCATCACATCCTTCTGCTGGGCCACCAGGGGAAGGGCTCCCCCTTTGACCTGGGTTAAAATAGTTGCTAGAGTTTACCAAGGCTTGTGATAGCAAAAGTCCTTCACAAGCTATTAAAAACATCTATGGCTGAAATAGTGCCTTCTAGGCCAGAGTTGTGCCATAGCGGCAATCAGCTATGGTTGCTGTGTAGCTTCCTCAAGGTGTTTGTGGTACTCCACAGCCTGAAGCCTTTAGGGCAGTCTGGCTGACTGCTTAGCTTACAACTCCAGCTCAGGGCAGATGGGGTGCCAAGGTAGGGCCTAACAACTGTCAATGAGGGAGTCAAATCACCTCCAAACCCAACATCTTAGTTTATTTTAAGGAATAATAAACATTTAAAAGGGTTCTTACAATAAAGGCCAATTATTAACATTAACAGTGTGTCAATGGTATCTAAATGTGCTTTGACAGTATTTACAGTGCTCTTCTCTTAGCCAAGCACCCCTGGGGAGAATCAGATAATTTCATCTGTCTTATCCTTGCCCCTAAGAACTGTGGGAGTGTCAAGTTTCCTTGATGTGAAACTTTATTTGGTGATGACCCTTGGCACTTCATCATCTTGGTCAAGCTGGGATTTCATCAACGGTGGGTTGTACAAGCAGTGCAGGAAGAAAGTCATGTGGAACTAGTTGCATCCATTATGTCTTGAGTCATATATGCAGTTGTGCAGCACCGGATGTCAGGCATGCAGTCCAGGTGTGCACACAGGTGCAAGAAGTGAGGAAGGTTTCTGAAAATGCACATAGATGCCTATGTTCCCAGGTCTGGTGAACCAGCCCTCGTCTTGGCCATTAGGAGGCTCCTGACAGTTGGAGCAATAACTTTTACTTGTGTTATACATTGGTTATGATTGATGAACCAATGTTAATTTATTCTGTTAACTAAGCAACTCTTTGTGTTGTAAATTCATGGGGTTTAACAAATTTCTAATGTCATGAACTCAGCATTACAACATATATAGACTAGTGCTGCAAATTATCTATTGTACTCATTATTGTTCTTCCCCCTCATCCCTCACACTCTTGGCTATTTGTGATTTTTTAAAAATCTCTGTGTCTCTATGGTTTTCCCTTCTAGATGTTATATAGTGGGAATCATGCCGTATGCAACATTTGCATACTATTTACTTTCACTTAACACTATATACTTAATGTTCCTCCATATCTTTTTGTGACTTGATAGCTCCTTTCTTTTTATTGGTGAATATATTCCAATATATGAATGGCCACACTTTGTTTATCCATTTTTCTATTGAAGAACATGATGGTTGCTCGAATTTTTGGCAGTTGTGAATAAATTGGCTATAAGCACCTATGTACAAGATTTTTGTGTGTATAAATTTTGAGCTCATTTAAATAAATACCAAAGACTATGTTTGCTGAATCGTGTGGCATGTTTAGCTTTGTTTGAAATGGCCAAACTGTCTTCCAACGTGACTATAGCCTTTATTCCTATAAGCAAGGAATGAGAGTTCCTGTTTCTCCACATCCTGGACAGATGTTGGAATTGCCAATGTTCTTAAATTCAGCCAAACATAGTATTTGCATTCCTGTGTTAGTCTAAACACTCTCTAGTATTTTAATAATTTCTTTTAGACCCATGAGTTATTTAAATTGATTAACAAATGATTTCTTAGTAGATAGGGTTCCTGTTTTTAAGTTGTTTTTGTCCTTATTTGCTTTGCAATAAAAGACTATTCTGTATGATGTCATCCTGGAAATTAGCTTTCCAATCAAGTAAATGATTTATCATTTTGAGTTTCATGTGTGTAAAAAGACCATATCATTTCCACTTGTGGATAACCTGATTTGCTCTATGAAATGAATGGCTAATGAATGCATCTTTTCCCATTCCCTGTGTCTGATCTGGTATTGGATTATTTTCTAATACTGAGTCTCTTTACATTATGATGTCTGGTCTTACAATCAGAGTCCTGACTCTGAAGTCAAGAGAAGAAATCAGTGGGCAGGGTTACCTCACTACCCCCACAGAGTACCATATTTTGTCTAAGACTCTACTACCCTCTGCCAGGATGACTTCTCCTTCAGAACTAAATTTCTACCTCCATCCTCACAAACCTCTCCCTGCCAGACTAGTCATGAAAATATCCCTACATCTGGTATTTCCCTGACACCACCCACAGTAGAGACCTATCCAAAGACAAGGTTCTCTGTTAGTTTGTCCCATCCACTTATATATTGATTTCCCTGGATGGAGAAATATTTATGGCTTGCCAATAAGTGCAAGGATTCAAAGTACAGAGTCGCCATTCTTTTAACACATACAGCCATGTGAAGAATAGTGGGAGAAGAATAGCACATTTTACCATCAGTTCACAATGATCTCCTCCATGGATCATGACCCTGGAATAGCTGCCTTAGTTCCTCTACTCTCTTACTGGTTGGATGAAATCTTTCATCCAACTCTGCTGGTTTCCATAATATGCAATCATCCTGCTGGAACACATCCATTGGCCCTCGTGCTCATGTTGGTTGTTAATTTCCTCAAGCTGTGGTCAGGTAAGCTATCCAGGACAGCCTCTTTCTGTCCACGTCTTGTTGACTAGCAGTTTTATTTCTTTACTTGATCCTGCAGAACAATGGGTAGGTGCATCTTTGTTGTTTATATTCCCCTGGCTTCTCTTAGTGCAAGTCTGGCATTTGCTAATATCAGGGGGTTGTGGGAGGCATGGGGAAGTGGGAAGTACTCAGGTAAGGTAGATATCATAAAAGTAGCCAAGAAATGCTATGTGTGAAGTGTTAAAGAGGCCACAGTACAATGGACGGGACCCACCAGAAACTTTGAGTAGAACAAATTGGATGCTGTCAATGATGAGATCTGAGGGTTTAAACAGGAAAGTCTCTAGAACACCTGACTTTCTGATTTGGGTACCTGGGTGGAAGGAGACACTTGAGAAAAAGACAATTTTTCAAGCTGTGGGTATGCTGAGATGGAAACACTAGTGATATGTAAACAGAGGGTAGGAAAGATGACACAGAATCTTTTAGCTTTTGGGGGGCAGAAATTCATTCTTCTTTCTCTTCCCTTTCACCACTCATTAAAACCTACCTTATAAGGCACTAAGTAGCGTTCATTAAAAAACAGAGGAAGTTGGAGTAGGCAGAGGTATCTGAGCAATCACTATTCAGCAGTACAAGCTTCAGCTGAGACTTCCTTTCCCTCTATGCAGGATCAATCCATTGCCTGTCTATCTATATCTGTTTTGCTAAACAACAGTAAGAAAATAGGAACAAAAGCATTCAAAACTTGCTCTACATAACAGTAGTATGACTATAGTTCACAACAACCTATTACATATTTTATGAATAACTGTAACAGAAGAACACAAAATCTCCAAACACAAGGTAATTTAATAAGAGGAAAATGTTAATTATCCTGATTTATAGCATGTAATTGTATTAAATCCTCACAGAGTACCACACAAAAATATACAATTAAAATTCTAATAATTAATTTTAAAACATATGCAGTTTTAATAGCTTATATTAGTTATTCCAAAGTAATGGGTTTCATTTGACATTTTCCTATGTGCATATACATACCTTGATCATATTCACTCCCTGTATTACTTTTTGTTCTCCCCCTCCCCCTTTCCCTTTTTCTTTTCCACATTCATAATTGTCCCCTTTTTACTTTCATGTACTTTTGCACTCTAAGGTCTACATATGAAAGAAAAACATGATATTTGCTTTGTGATTCTGAATTGCTTCTCTTACCAGGATAATTTCCAGTTCTATCCATTTTCCTGAAAATAGCACAATTTCATTCTTTATGGCTAAATTCAACTATACTGTTAATTATTTCACATTTTCTTTAACTATTCACCTGTTGATCACTTATAAAAATGTGGTATAAATGTTGAGGATGTGGCTCAAGGGTTAGAACACTTGCCTAGCAGATTTGATGCCCTGATTTCTAAACCCCAGTACTACCAAAAATAAAAATAATACTAAAAGGCATACAATCTATTTTCACAACAAAATCTATGCTGTGCCTCTCATCTAACTTCACTCTCACCCATTTTCTAATGAGCTTCTCTGCTTCGTGCTGTTTTGGGACAGGCGCAGCATGGAAATGGTCACAGAGACAGAAAGACTTTGTTTTTAACATTCCTTTTTCCTCTGCATTGGATCTTTGTGGTCATAACTTCTCAAAGTGTTAGTTTGCTTGTTGTGGCATGAAACTAGAATCACATTCCTGACAGGGCCATTAGAGAGCTAAACAAGGTTGTAACACAAAGTCCCTGGGTGCAGTGTTCAACACCAATTTATTTCCGATATTCCACAGTTAAAGAAACAGTAAAATCATTGAAGATACTGCTACAGGCAAGAGAAATGTCAGGTGCAGCAAGGGCAGCCCAGCTGACTTAGACCTGGTTCTCCAAAGCAGATCCAGTTACAAGGGCTGATCTCCAGGGGGGTTGTTTAAGAGATGATTCTGAGAAACCAAATGAGCAGGTGGGAGAGTGAAGCCTGAACTCATGGAGGATGTGCTAAAGAGCAAGCTACTGCTGACAGCAACTGGGATTCAGGTCAACTGGGACCTTCTGGGGAACCTTTACAGGAATCCTTTGGACTGTGGCTCAGCATTATCTTCTGAGAAAGAGGAGACATTGAGAATTCATCCTTTGCCTCCCATCATCACAGATAGGTCTTCAAGGTTCTTAAAATGCCAGGACTTCTGAACTTCCCTACCTCTGTGATCACTAAGCACCAAATGTTGGAGGAGGCCCTCAGCAGAGGAAGTGGAGAGTCTAGTTTCCTAGGGTAGAGCCATCAGCAGGTGTGGGGCTCGCCCATCCTATTACAGGGTACTCAGAGGCTGAGTGCATATAAAGGGACAGGGCCTCAGCCTCTCACATTCCAACAGAGTCAGAGACCACACTACAAAGTCACAGTTCATCTAATAACAGTCTGCTTCAAGAATGTGTGAAATTCATTTCAGAAAGATATCTAAAATATACTTGAGTTAGAAATAATTGGTGCTAAAATAAAAAAATTAACTTCTTTTAGAATTCACACATAAAACCTGTCTTGCTTTTTATTCATATGCACACTCTACATTTAGATGCATAAATTCATCAATGAATCCTTATGGATAAATCAAGAAAAATTGTCTCTAGTCAAATAAGCAGTGTACAGAGAAGTTGAAGTGTTGGGATCCCACAATGTGTGAACACTCTAAAAAGAAATCTATTACAAAGTTGTAAGTGTGATTTATATCAGGAACATTGCAGAAATGATCATCAAACAGATGAGCAAGTAAGGAAAGAAAATGGTGCTCACCATTTAGCCTTGTAGCCCTTCATATACCCTTGTAGAGGTATATATTGCACTTCTATAACAAAATACCATAACCTGTGTAGTTAGTAAAGAACAGAAATTTTATTTCTCACAGTCTAGAAATCCAATATGAGGATGCAGTACATTTAGGTACTAGTGAAGACCCTTATTTGGGTAGCAACCTATGGATGACCCAAATACTCCCTGGAATTCCCATTCATGAGGGCTCCAACCTCCTGACCTAGTCAGACTCCCATATTATAATTTTACTTTTTCCTTTCTAGTTTAGATGTTCTTCATATTTTTTTTCTTTTTTAATAGCTTTGGCTGGAACTTCTAGTACTCTGTTGAACAGAACATCTCTAAAGGCTGGACATGGGAAGCAATGCTGACCACAGCAGACCCTGTCCACATAGAGCTGAGAGATGTGCAGGGGAAACTCCCAGAAAACAAATCATTATCACACTTGAAAGCAGATGATGAGGACAATTTCAAACTGGAGGCAAGGGCCAAGTGTATCAAGAAAATAGGAACAAAATGAAAGTAAGGCATGTTTAAAAGACTGAAATGGCACTATGAATGGCCAAAATCATGAACTAGAAAAATATTATCACACAAGTGTGTAAGTAGAAAGATTGTGTCACAATGTGAATACACTAAAGGAGAAATCTATTAATTAAAAGCTGGAAAATTTCCTTGTCACAATGTCATAGGGAGTCTTTCATATTTTCACAAAGTAAGCAAAACAAGAGAGCACAAATGAATGTTTGACCTGCAGTCAGAGTTTACATTATATACATCCTCCTTGCATCCATGAAATATTTATGAAACATACTCATGTGTTTGAAGGAAACAAATCATCCCAAATTTGGATTGATGGTCATATTAATCCCCCTTGGGTTTTTGGACAAGGAGTGGCCCTTTGGTTTTTCATAAAGAAGATGGAAAAGGGGCTTTTGTGAATTTTAGTGAAGCAGATATGTAGATGGAAATAATGTGGAACTGTATTTGGAAAGTGCCTCTTATTCATCTGGATAATGTTCTTACTGTTTGTGAAACACAGTTTTTCAACTTGAAAATGGGAATATTAATAAGATACACCTCCGGGATGTCTTTGAGGCATGAGTGAGGTAACTCATGTGGGTATGTTCTGTCAAGTGTAAGAGATGTCACTCCCTTGGTGTAGTAAGGTGATAGTGATGAGTGTTCTAAACCCGTGCACTTTACCTCCTCACCCTAGTCCTGCATAGGCCACACTGACCTGGTGATCATGTTTGGTCAGTTACCATTTGTGTTTCTTCACACAGGTCAGTGGCAGTTTGTTGGGCTAGACAAGCCCATCCGGATCTTTATGGGAGAGGAGGTAGTTTCTTCTGCTTCCTCTCTCCTGAGACAAATGCCCAGGCCATGGAAGTGTGGTTCTTTAAATGATTACTTCTCTGACTTAGTCCACCTGTACCAAGATGGTAAAGACAAGAAAGACATGCAGATGCCAGCCTATCAAGGGAGAACAGAGCTGGTGAAGGACTTCATTGTGGATGGACATGTGTTCCCGAGGTTGCAGAAAGTCACTCCCTCAGATGCTGGCCTGTATGGGTTCTGTTTCAGCTCCCAGACACATGAACAGAAGGCCATCTGGGAACTGCAGGTAGCAGTTCAGTTGCTGATTTCAGAAAACTCATACCTGCCTTGTCTTGTGGAATCATCCTGGGCTTTATAAACAGTTGTATGAAAGAGAAGACTTTTTTCTTATGTCATTTTCTTAGCAGAAAGTATCCTACATGACAACTTTGTTATATCTTGTGCGTAGAATTTTATCATCTTATCATATGTGTACATTCATGTTGAATTATCTCCTCACAATAAGATCTCTCTCTGCTGTCCTTTTATAGTCACACCCTCCTCTCTTACCACTATCCCTGACCTTACAAATTACTAGTCTGTTCTCCATCACTGTTATTTTCACAATATAAGAATGTTATTTAATAATGGAATCATATATATGTGGCCTTTAGAGACGGGCTTTTTCATTTAGCATAATAACTTTGAGATCCATTCAGCTCGTTGCTTGTATCATTAGTTCATTCCTTTTGATTGCTGGTATGATCATGGGTTAGTTTTTGCATGGACATAAGTTTTCATTTCTCTCAGAAACATGAACATGAGTACAATGGCTAGGATGTATGATAAGTGTATGTTTAGTTTTTTTCCCTTTTACTTCATAGTGTATCTTTGTCAGGTTGCACTTCTATAACAAAATGCCATAACCTGTGTAGTTAGTAAAGAACAGAAATTTTATTTCTCACAGTCTCATCCAATATGAGGATGCAGAACATTTAGGTACTAGTGAAGACCCTTATTTGGGTCACAACCTATGGATGACCCAAATACTCCCTGGAATTCCCATTCATGAGGGCTCCAACCTCCTGACCTAGTCAGACTCCCATATTATAATTTTACTTTTTCCTTTCTAATTTAGATGTTCTTCATATTTTTTTCTTTTTTAATTGCTTTGGCTGGAACTTCCAGTACTCTGTTGAACAGAAAAGTGCTCATCTTTCTCTTGTTGTTGATCTTAGTGGGAAAAATTTTAGTCCTTTCCCATTGAGTATGATGTTCACTGTGAGTTTGACACATATGGCCTTAGTTATGCTAACAACATTTCATTCTATCCATTATTTGTCAGGTATTTTTTATGATGACAATTTATTGAATATTATCAAATGACTTTTTTGGCACCAGTTGAGATAACCACTTCCTTTATTTGCTGTATTATATCACATTTCATCATGAAGAGATGTTAGATTTGTCAAATACTTTTTAATGCATATATATATATATATATATATATATATATATGAGTGTATGCTATTTATTCTGTACTTTGTGATGTGTTGGATTATATAAACTGATTTTTGAGTGTTGTATCACCTTTCATACCTAGAATAACTCCCAATTGGTTATGGTTTATAATTCTTTATATACACTGCTTAAGTAGATTTACTCATATTTTTCAAAGGTCTTTGACCTTATGGAATGAATTCCAAACATTTACTACTATTTGCTAGGAAAATTGTGTAAAACTGGCTATAGTAGTTCTTCATTTTATTTCTTATTATTTGAGAGTTATGGCTTTTCCTTCTTTTGAAAAGTGTTTTTTGGTAGTAATGAGGTTTGAACTCAAGGCCTCACACTTGCTAAGCAGAAACTCTACCATTTGCACCAAATCCCCAGCTTACAACTATTCTTTAAATGTTTTCTAGTACTTGACAGTCAAACCCTCTGGACATTTTAATATCTCTAATATTAAATTTTAAGTTTAAATAAAAATTTTTCAGTGGTTATAAAACTACTCAGATTACATATTATTTCATCATGACTGAGCTTAGGTCATTTGTGGTTTTCAAGGAATTAGTGTTCCATGTTGTCAAATATATGAGCATGTAATTGTTCCTAGCATGACTTATCCTTTTAATGGCTTCATGATCTGCAGTGATACCTCCTGTTTAATTCCTGACTTTAGTGATATTTTTATATTCTTTGTCTCTATTTTTGTTCATATTGCTAGAGGCTTGTCATTTTTTATTAATTTTAGAAGAAACACATTTTCACTGAATCTCATTATTGCTTTCCTATTTTAAATTTCATTGATTTATGCTTTTATCTTTATTAGTTTCTTTCCTCTATTATTATCTCCTTCTCCATCTACCCCTACTGTGTTATCCAACAGCTTTCAATGTGTTTTTTCTGACATCTTTATAACAGAAACAGTGAATTTTATTTTATTCACTCTCCATCATTCTCTTTTCCTTTCCCACCTCCGTAAGTTCCCTTTAGTTCCCTTAGTGTGTGTGTGTGTGTGTGTGTGTGTGTGTGTGTGTGTGTTTATATATAAAATCATGTCTGTATTTATGTATAGATTTATCTTTATCTTTTAGGTCTATTTCATATGAAGAAGAACATTCAACTTTTGTCCTTCTGAACCTGGCTTATTTGCTTAATATGATGATCCCCAGTTCCATTGATTTACCTGAAAAAGTCATAATTTCATTCTTCTTTATATCTGAATAATACTGCATTGTGTATATATACACACTGGGGTTTGAACTCAGGGCTTTGCATTTGCTAAGCAGGAGCTCTGCTTCTTGAGTCATGTCTCCATCCCCTATGTCATGTTTCTGAGCATATCATTTTCCATAGTTTTCTTAGCAGTTGCTCTTGGTATTATGGGATATACATGTAAGTTATCATAATTTATTGATACTGACCTTATTAATGTTTCACTTTGCATAAATGTGGAAACCTTACTTTCACTTGATTCCTTTTACATTCTCCACAATTGAATTAACGCTGTTTTGTCAATTTCTTATACATTCTTTCAGTGTCACATCAGATAAGAGTTATAATTTATATTTCAGTCATCAAATATGATTTAAGAAATCCATAGAAGGGTGGCCTATTGTAGGTACCTTTATTTTTTGCTCCTTTCATTGGTTTTTATCCCTTAGGGATGGTCTGAGATTCCTGCCTTTTCATTTCCTTTTTGTTTGAGAAATTTCCATTATTTATCCTTTAAGACATGACTTGGTTGAAACAAATTCTCTGTTTTTTTTTTCTTTTTCCTTCTGGAGAATGTTCTGACAGTTCTTTTCTTTCAGCAATTGAAAGATATTGGGCCACTTCTTTTAGGCCTCCAAGATTTCTGATGAGAAACCTGTTGTCATTAAAGGAAGTTTCTTCATATGTAATGCATGGTTTCTTTCTGGTTACTTTCCAGAGTTTTTCTTTGTCTTTAGTTTTTCGACAGTTGAACTATAGAACGTCCAGATGTGAATTTATCTTGATTTTCCTTATTCAGCATTCACTCAGCTTTTCTGGTCTGTAGTTTTATGCCTTTTCACCAAATTGAGAATTTATTAGGCACAACTTCTTCAAATTTTTTAATCCCGATTCTTTGTCCTGTATTTCTAGGGCTCTGATGATAAAACATCAGATACTTTGATTTTGTCCTTCAGGACCCTGAAGGTGTATTCTTAAAATGCTTTTGATTCCTTGTTAAAATTCAGTGAATTCAATTGCTCTATACTCAAGTTCATGGATTATGTTCTCTATCAGATCTACTTTACTGTTGATCCCACTCAGTACATTTTAATTTGTCATTTTATATTTCAGTTATATAATATCCATATGATTTTATATGGATCTTGTCATATGTTTCAAGAGATATTATAATCACCAGCATTATTATTATTATTATTATTATTATTATTATTAGCTCTACCTGGGATTGAACTCAGGGCCTGGTGCTTGCGAGGCAAGTGCTCTACCACTGAGGCCATGCCCCCAACACATTTACCTTTAGTTTTTTTTTCACCTAGAGTTTCATGCTTTTTCCCAGGGCAGCCTAGAACCACCATCCTCCTATATCCTCCTCCCTAATAACAGGGACTATAGGTTTGGATACCTGGTCTATAATCATTTACCGAAGCATTTTTGTGGTAGTTATGTAAGACTCTGTCAGATAATTTCCAACATCTGATTAATTTTTGTTTTGGTGTTAGTTGATTGTCTATTCTCAGTGAAGTTGCTATTTTCCTGGTTTTTCAAATGATGGATTTTTTTGTAAACAGTGAATATTTTAGATATTATGTCAGGATACTCTGGATCTTATTTAAAGCCTTTGTTTAATCAGTTGATCACCCTTATAGGTTTAATACTCAGATTCAGGTCTTCTTTTGTCAGTTGTGGTTACAAACACAATTTTTAAAAGAGCTTTTGTTGTTTCCATATATTTGGATAATTTGCAAATCCTGTGGTTCCTACTGAGTACTTTCTGTGCTGCCTGTGGAAATAGAACCTGTTTCTCCAGATGAGACCCCCTGTATCTCTAAGTGAGCCCACAAGGGAAAAAAAGTGCTTACCTGTTTTCTTGTCAGTGAGACTGATACTCAGTTCTTCTCCCAGTGCTACTGGGTCCCCCCTGTTATTGTCATTGTTGTGGGGAGGAGTGAGGCTGCCTGAGACAACTTCTGTTTCTGGATAGGAGACTGGTAATAAAGATCTTAGCTGCAGTGTTTTCCTTTAATCCTAGGACTCTAGACACTCACCTTCCCCTTTCACCCTCTCAGAGTTTTCCTGTGGTTGCCTCTTGTGTTATTTCCAGGGTTTACAATTTTACTTAGAAGATAAAAGAGAGTTGAGTCTACACTGTATTATATGGACCCCATCATTACAATCTACACAATTCATTCATCCATTCCCTCAAGTATCATTTAAAAGGCTGTGTGAATTGAGCAACACCTGGGAAATACCCAGAATGGAACATTTCTGTCTGGAGTAGGGAGATGGGTAATAACAAATAATTAAATAGGTGTTAACTTGGTAACAAGTCCAAATTATAAATGGAAGTTAGGTTAATCCCTCCTTGGATCTAACTAGTCCTTCAAATCAAACTCCCAAACAATTCCTGTGTCTGTCTCTCCTTTCTTAGAGCCTTCCACATCTCTTGCCCTTTTCTTCTCTCATCTAAGAGAGACACTGATGTGTCTGGCTGGTCACCCTTCACTTTAGGAGTCTCTGAAATCCTATTTCATGATGCTTCAGAATGGCTCTCTAAGGTAATAGTCAAGTCATAACTACCACCTGATGGAAACTAGTCAATAGGACCATAGTGGCTTCAGTACCTACTATGCTTACAAGATATGCTCCACATTCCTTGGGTCAGTATATTCACCTTATAGTCTGATCCTGTGCTAGTCTCAAATCTTATTTCACACCTTCTTTTCTTGCACACTACAATCTGGAAATACCACATGATAGTGGGTATTTCTTGAAAGAAGTATGGCATATCTGCTCTTGATTCCATGGTATGTACTTGCCCCTTTGTCTGGAATGCTTCTCCATCTCCTTACTTTTTCACATGTAGAACCACATTTATGTGATAAAATGTGACCTCATGGAAGCTATGACATCATTCATTCTTTTTAATGTGAGTAAGAGAGAGAACAAGAAATGGTGGGAAAGTTGTTTTGTGGATGGGCTTCATGAACCTACCCTAGGACAGCTGTGACCTTGGGGTGTGACCTTTGTTTTCACTCCTTTCTGTTTACTCTGTATACATGGGCTCAACTCCTCTCATTTCTATTATGGGATATGTTGGTAGAGGCATCCAGCTACTCTGTCAGTCCTCTGGTTGGTTATCCCAGCCCATAGTGAAGTGGAAAGACTCAGAAGGACTTGAACTACCTGCAGACTCCAAAGTGAATAAAGACTCACATGGTTGGTTTGATGTGGAGACCTCTCTTGTGGTTCAAGAAAATTCTGAGATCATATCATGTTCCATGCTACTTGCTGACCAGGGTCCAGACATGAAATCCAGAATATTGATAGACAGTGAGTTAAAAAGGGGAAGGTACTATGTAGCACTTTGGAGGAAAAGATTATCCCTGGATTGTTTAGTATTGTTTTATTTTAATGATTAGTTTTGAAAGTCAAAGTAAATGAGGCATAAAAATAAAATCATAAATATTTGATTAGGTGGAAACAGAATGACTTACCATTCTTAGGATTAGAATTAAGTACTTTCTTCACCACAAGATCACCCCCATGGGAACTGTTTAGGAGGAAAACTAGAAGAAGGGGGAGGGTGAAAGAAAGAGTGTGATGGGTGGGACTATGATCTATGTATATGTATATTTATGTATGAAAATAGAATAAAAAATCAATTAAAATTATTTTTAAAAGTAGGACAAAAGGTAGAAAGAGTAAGACAGAGGTAAAAGGGTTGGTAAATATGATCAAAGTACACTATACACATATGGAGATACACAGTGATCACCTTGCATAATTAAATACATTAAAACAAATCACTCCATGGAGCACGTCTCCAAACTTAATATATACAGAACTTAAGAAAACTAAATTGAGAATCAAGAAAAAATATTGCTTACTCATTTTTATAAAAAGTCATTAGTCTATGAAACAGAATAGAATAAAAATATAATTTCAGTAATGATTTAGAAAGTAATATAACAATTAGTGCTCACCCAAATGGTCCCGAATTAGAATTGAAGAGGCTCAATTTTCCAATTAAAACACAAAATTGTCAGACTGGACGAAAATTACCATTTGTTGAATCCATAAGACAAACAGTAAAGCACATGAGTCATTTTGGAAACATAAAGAGGAATGAATATTTGAGAAAAATATTATTCAAAGAAAACCATAAGAGATATATCAGTGTCACAAAAAGTTTTAAGAAAAATTAGTATAAATGGAATTATTTCATAAATAAATTCACCAGGGAAATATAAACATTTTCATATAATTTAACCTTATATGTTTAACCATATGAAGCAAACATCCATGGAAATAGAAAAATCTGCAGATTGTGTCTTCCAATAGTGATTAGGTAAACATAAAGTTAACAAGAGTATTGACAATTTGCATTGCAAATAAATCAGCCTGAACTAATAATCATGAAAAGGCTGCACCTCAAAAAAAATTTTACATAGTTGGGGATCAAACTGAGGACCCTGTTATGCTAAGCAAGCACTCTACCACTAAGCTACACACACTGGCCCCCAAAACATTAATTTAAAACACAGAGGGAAAATTTTCAAAATTTCACCATGTATAAGTACATAAAATGGTTTTCAGGGGCTAGTGGAGTAGCTCAAGTCATAGAGTGCCTGCTTAGCAAGAACCTATCTAGATAGAAAAATAAAATCTAGATAAATTTGACTTACTCAGAAATCCAAAGGTTTTTTATTTCTTTTGTTTTTGTTTGTTGCAACAGGGTCATGCTATGTAGCCCAGGCTGACCTTGAACTTCCAATCCTTCTGCCTTAGTTCAAGCCTTAGCATTACCAAAAAAAAGTTGCCAGAAAATTTCTAGGATGAATTGACATGACATTGAGACAATGCTCTGTAATCACAATAAATAAAATTAAGCTAAATGGCAATAAAATTGTTTAAAATTATAATTTTGAAAAAATTTAAATGCACTTATAAAAGATAGGATCATTGAATAGGTCCAATGGTAATTAGAAAATTCTTACAACTGAATGGCAATTCAATCACAATGTATTATAGTGTGTAGAGTTAAAGTAGTTTTCTGAGTAAAAATTATATTCCTATGGAGATCCAAGATGCTGACAGAGGCAGAGCCGCAGACCTCATGAGCTCCTGAACCAGAGACCCTGCCAAGAAGGTGGAGACACGCCTTGCTGAGGTAAAGCACCAGGGAGAGCCAAAAATACGGCACTCTAAACTCTTAGATCATGGAAGGCTTCTCCACGCCATGATCTAATAAAAGAACAGCCAGCCTGCCAAATTCCCCTGCAGTAGGCCTGCAGAGCCGCTGCTCTGTTCTGCCGGACTCTCCATCCCTTGGACTGCGCCTGGCCACAGCCCCGCACCAGACCCACACTAAGCTGGGATTCCCGCCCCTCGGCCACGCCGCCAGACCCATAACTACCGGGATCCCTGCCCCCTGGCCACACCAGAAACCAGGTGGGAACCGGTCTCACAGCTTGCCGGGATACCCGCCCACCGGAGCCCACTGGTCTTCAGGCAATGCTGAGCTCCAGCTATGCGTGGGATGACTGGACCCCTCCGTCTCACTGCCCATCAGAGCCTGCCAGGCTACACCTCCGTGTGGAAAGACTGGAGCCTCCCCGACTGGGACAGGCACCAGCCTGGCGTGAGTCACCCGCATCCACCATGCTGCCAGGATCCCCGCCCCTGGGGCGGATTGGGCCCCAGCTCTACAGGCTTTCCAGATAGCTGCTCCACCATCTCCTGCTCAGGCTGCCAATGGAGGGCTCCAAGCATGCCTAAGAGATGCACAGAGACTGGACTGGACACTAAAGGACTAACAACGACTAAGCCTGCAATTCTGCTGTTCCAGAATTGGTGATTTTTTTTCTTTTTCTCCTTTCTTTAAGGGTTTGGCAGCCTGGTTTGCTGTTTGATGACCTACCATCTCTCCCATTTGTGTTTTGGGATACTAAGACGAACACGCCTAAATATTTAACACCTACTTCATCATTTGTCATGGCCCATATCCCTAATCCAGACAGAAATTTTATTTTATATTCCATTTCATGCCATTCCCCAGATACTGAATGGTGCACAGAGCCTTATAAATTGTCCACTGAGGGAATAAATGGATAAATGTAAGGTGGAAGTTCTAAGGAAGGGGGTTCATATAAGACAGTGTAGACGTCTCCCTCCCCCTTCTCTCTTTCTACTCTCTCTCTCTATCACTATCCCTGAGATTCTAAGTAAAAATTTAAGCACTAGAAATAACATAAGAGGCAGCCATAGGGAAATTCTGGAAGTGAGGAAAAGGAAGGTAAATTGACTAGAGACCAAGGATTGAAACTGAGCACTCTGTTACCTACCAATAGAAGTTGTCTTAGGTAGTCTCACTCCTCCCTACTCCCCATCACTCACATCAGGTAGACCTGGTAGTATTGGCAGAAAAATTGAGCAGCAGCTTCATTGACAAGAAATCAGAGGAAATACTGTTTGTCCCTGTGGGACAGAGTCTCTTCTATCTCACCTAGAAATATAGGGAGTCTCACCTGGGGAAGCAGATTCTATTTCTACAGACAGCACTAGAAGTAATCAGCAGGAACCCTAAGATTAGCGAATTATTCAAATATATGAAAAATTTAAAAGGCTCAAAAGTTATCTTTGTAACCACAACTGGCAATAGCAGACCCATTCCTGAGTACTAACCCTAGGTAACTATTGATTAAATAAAAGCTTTCAACAGGATCCAGGGTATTCTGAAATAATAGCCCAAATGTCCATATTTGAACAAAAATCACTCATCATGCTAACAGCCAGGAAACTATCAACTTCATTGAGAACCATGGACTGATGCCCAAACCAAGATTAATCAGATTCTGGAATTAGGGATTTTTAAATAACTATAACAAAAATGCTTCAATAAATAATTAAATATCTTTTGAAACATGAAAATATGGAAAAGTTTACAATAAAGGAGTTATAAAAAGTGCCACATTTTATAACTGAAATAAAAATGCATTGAATGATATTAATAGTACAGTAGAAATGATAGAGGCTACAACCAGTGAACTTGAATATAGAACAATAGAAGTAACTGAATAATGAAACAGTAGATTTTTATTAGTATGTTTAAACTGCACAAAGGGGTTTCATCATGACATTTCCACATATTCATAAAGTGTATTTAGATCATTTTCACCCCTTCAATTACTCTTTCTTATGCTCCCTGTTCCTCTTCCCCATTTCTCTTCCCCCTCCACCTCCTACAAGTCACACTTTTACTTTCATAACCTTGGTTTTTATTGTATTTTGTTTTGTTTTCCTCTAACTTCCACAAATGAGAAAAAACATGTGATATTTGTCTTTGTAGAACTGACTTATTTCACTTAACATCATAACGTATAGTCCTATTTTCCAGAAAACAGCATATATTTATTTTTGTTAATGGCTGAGTAAAACTCCATTGTGTATATATACATTTTCTTTATCCATTCATTCATTGATGGGCATGTAGGCTGAATCCATAGTTTGGCTGTTGTGAATAGTGTTCTGGTATACATGGGTATGCAGGTATCACTGTAGTAAGCTGACCTTGACTCTTTTACCCAGAAGTAGTATGGCTGGATCAAGTGGAAGTTCTATTTTTAATTTTTTGAGGAGAATCCATAGTGATTTCCATTGTGGCTGGACTAATTTACTTCCCCACCAGCAATGGATAATGTTCCTTTTTCTGTACATCCTCACCAGCATCTCTTGTTAATTGCTTTACTACCAGACAATAGGATAGGTAGGATCGGGAGAAATTGGTGAAAGGTTATAAAATTTTAGTTAGAAAGAAAGCATACATTCAGAGATATATTGTACCCTGTGGTGACTTAATAACAATATATTGTGTACTTGAAAATTGCTGATTATTTGTTAAAGTATATAATGTAATTCATATAGTATCTCTATTTAGTCATTTCATGATATATACCTATATCAAAACAGCCCATTATATATCACAAGTAAATACAATTTGATAAATTGCAAAAATTATTTAAAATATAGCAAAAAAGAAATGATGACTGGAAACATTCCCAAATTGAAGAAAGATATGAACATCCAGGCACAGAAGGCTCATAAAACTCCTATCAGATTCTTGAGCTTGAATTGCTTCCAATGAGAGCCACTACTGAGGGCCAGCCTATGAACAAAACAACTGCATGGAAAGCTGAGAGCAGGCTGGCAAGCCTTGCCTAGGACACTGGATAGAAGTCAGCTGGCATCTGTGTTGTTTTATACCCTCAGGCAAAAAAAATTGGCACAGAAATGAGCTGGATGAGGGCAAGGGAGTGAATGAACCAGTTTCAGTCCTGTGGGTCACCACACAGCTTTCCTGACCGAGTGCATGGTTGCAAATACATCTAACCCTGAAGAAAATTGTGGCCAAGTAGACTGATTAAAGAACCCCACACCCAGCCTCAGCCTGCTGGGGTGGGGGTGGGAGGTTGAAGCTACATGAATTTACTATAAATGGTGTTACCTCTGAGGGCTACTGCCCAACTAAGCCCAGTGCATGAACACAAATACATCTGACCCCCATGAAAATATTCAGCTAAGCAGGTTGATCAAAGGCACCCTCACATGGCCCTATACTTGTGGGGGGTGAGGTGAAGCCACCTCATCCAGGGTCTCTGTCCAAAGGAAGGTCACAGAAGTGGGCAGTTTAACTGGCTAGAGTTCAACATCTAGCTTTCTATCCCAAGACAAGGAGGATATAGAAGCAAGCTGGCCAGCTAGCTAGAACCCTTAATAACTTGCCCAACCCTGCAGTGTATGCATATACAAAAGTGACAGGAACTATTTGGCTCTCACTCTTCAAATGAAAACTGGAGGCCTAGGTCAAAAAGGGGAAAAAACTCATTGTGGGTAGGTCAGAACAGCCAATGGACTCCCTGAACAGTAAAAAACTCAGGCTTTAAGAGTGGCAGAATGCTTTCTGACCTACTCACTATGCTCAGTAGCCCAACCACTCAACTCCAACTGCTAGCTCACACACCTGGAAATGCCTCACTCATCCAAGTAACTGTCCTAATCCAGAGTGCCCTGTGCTCCTAAATTATACCTGAGCAATTCAGGGCTCTGAGGGGACATATGAGCAAACACAACAGAAGAACTGCAGACAAAACCAGACAACCAGAGATTGGGGAGGAGCACAGTGTACTAATAGTGCCTAGCACACATTCATCCTTCTCAACAAGGAACAAATAGTAAATTTCTTAAAATTAAAAAATTATTTTATCTCTTTTATATTGTCATTTTCTCTCTTTTCTTTTTTCTTTTTTTTCAATTTTCCTCTCTTGAATACAAGCTCTTCTACTGATGGTTTAATCTACCACTTTCTTTTATTATTCTTAACCATTGTATCCTGTAATCCCTGACAATATCACCCTTTTCCACAATAATTGAACAATATTCCTACACACTAGAACTTTGCTTACCTTCAACCTTCTAACTTCACTCCACTTCACCCCATTTTCCTTATTTCCATCTTCAATCCTTTAACTACCTAAGTTTTAACTCCTATGCAAACAAGTTTTAACCCCCTATATACCATATAAGAATGCTAGTCCCTTTTATATATAAAATGTGATCAGTTGTATAGATAATGCTGCCAGTGGTATTTTACTTTATGTAAATATCTGGCTTGATATTGAATTGGTGAATTTATTATTGGTAAGTTTTACTCCCAGGCCAGTGGCCAGAAATGATACATGAACCTTATCACTAACCAGTCCTTCGGAACATACAGAATAGTTCAAAGGAACAATTTTAGTTGACTAAAATCCTCAATGAACTAATTGACTACAGATGAGAAGATCTCAAAATAGAAGCACAAAGACATATGAAGAGGAAAGTGAATATGATACCTCAAAAAGTCAACAATCACACATAAGTGATGGTGATAAAATCTCAATTCTGACCTCAAAAGAATGAAGATAAGAATGATTAATGACCTGAAAGAAGACATGCATAAACACTTCAATGAAATTAAAGAGAATATGAATAAACAGGTAAGTGATTTTAAACTGAATTCAAGTATACATCAAAATAAACTCAAAGAGGATACATGTAAACAGCTGAATAAATTCAAGGAAGATATAAATAAACAGCTAAATGAAATAAGGAAGACAATGCAAGATATCAAAGGGAAATTCAGTAAAGATAAAGAAAGTCTGAAAAAGTCACATTGAGGCTCTCAAAATGAAAAGTTCCTTAAGTTAAATAAAAAATTCAGTTGAAAATCTCTCCAACAGACTAATCAAGTGGAAGATAGATTATCAGAGCTTGAAGACAAAGTAGGTATAACAGAAAAATCAAATGAATATATAGAAAAAAGTATGAAGAACTATGTATTGAATATCCAAGAACTTTATGACTTCACCAAAAGACCAAAATACTTATCATGGGCATTAAAGAAGAAGGGGTGCAAACTAAAAGCATAAGAAGCATATTCAACAAAATAATAGCAAAAAACTCCCCAAATCTTCAAAAAGAGATGCTTATCCAGGTACAAGAGACA